ATTATGAACACAAAATCAGTTTCTATCATCATGAATAAGTAATTTCTTTTAGTGACCACCAAACAAAATGAAAAAGAAGAAATGCAGGAGAAAATGAAGTCATAGGGTGACCATTCGCAACCTGGGACACCTCTTTTGGGAATATTATCTTTGAAACTTTCAATAACTTCACGAGCACAACTCAGACAAGTTTCATGCTGCCGTTGGTAGAAATGCTCTTCAATTGGTGAAAAGATGAGCCAAGAGAGGCATTCCTCTTGAGGTGGAAGTTGCAATTCATCCGCAACTTGTACTTTTGATGAGCGCCACATAATTTGTTTGAAAAAATTGTGTGTAAATTCCATGGCTCCAGCGTCTCTCTTCTGCAAAAGTATGGTGAAAGTCAGTAAAGACTCCATCTGAGCACTCTTGGATCAAAAAGAAAACAGCAGAAAAAAGTATTCAAACAGCAAACCCAATAAAAGGTTGAAAAGAAGCTGCTGGACAATCAACATTGTAAGATTATATAAATCTAAATAGTAATTTGAAAATTAAGCTTTTGACACTATGATCACCCAATAATTATTTCCCATGACGCTAAGCCTATTTTTGGAATCATACTATGGGAACATCATTCATTGTTGTTATTACTTCCCTTCTTGAAAAGCCCATTAATATGCTATTCGCTTGTAAATTTTATGTCTAGTTTAAATATCCCGTTTGCACAAAAGGAGCCATTTCAAATTATATATGCATGCATGTATGTTGAAGTTAGCTTATTTCTTACCAACTTCAACTTGTAGAACAACTGGTCATGGAAACAAATTATTTTACAAATATTTCAATAAATCCATTGATGCAACTGTATATAGACACTTGATCAGTAAGGATGAATAACAGCACAAAACTAATACCTCATATGGATCTCTTATTACTTCCATCCACCACCTAGGTACATTGAAAGGACTTGCTTTGAGAAACCTTAACAGTCCATGCAAGTCATCAAGCTTTCTTTGTATAGGAGTGCCAGTTATGCACCAACGATGCTTAGCATACAATCGCAAAGCCATTTCAGTGGCTGCAGCAGCATTGCTTTCCACCATTTGAGCCTCATCCAAACAAACTCTCCACCAAAATATTCTGGTCAGAGTAGTTGGAATAACAGGGTACCTAGTAAACAATATTGTCAAATATCATCTTGAAACATTCCAAAAAAGATTATATCATCTTGAAACATTTGATTCATAAAGTTCTGAGTATGATCAAAAACGTTGACCCACCTCCAGAAAAGTATCAAAATGAATTTAAGAAGTAAAAGAAGTGCATTTAACACATTTTTAACTCTTTTAGAATAATAAATATAGTGTTTAAATAATTATTTATAAAACCACAATGGATCTCAAATTTAAAGCAGATACATAAAAAAGCATCTGCTAAAGTAAACGCAAAATCTTGCTGCGCAAACTACAACATATACTCTAAAAAGTTGTACAAAATAGAAACTCAGCTACCAACTTGAGCTGAACCAAAACGTCAGCTTTAATTAAAAAAATAAACCCAGTTAGAACAAACCTCTTCCGGAATCTTAGGAAGTGTCGATCACCATCTTGCCTATCAGAGTCGTGAGACAGGTCCTCTTTAAGAACATCATAAGTCGTTAACACAATGTCAGCACTGACCAGTTCACTGATGTCCACCATAGGTACACTTGAAAAAGAATTGTTTCTCACGCCTTCATAGACAAAAGTTTTTAGAGAACCTGAATGTGTATGGCTATGATAATGAATAGAAAAACATCCATTAGTATCACAATTTAATGAGTAAAAAAACTGAAAGAGAATAAAGACAAAAGTATCAGAATGTAAGAAAGCCATGTTGTCAAATGAAAATGTAATCCAACCTAAATGGCTTTAACAGAAGCATTTTGTAAAAGAATTTTGAAATTCTTTGTTCTAGGAGAAGTTAGAATAGTTAAGAGACACACAATATATACTTTATCTGAGTAGATAAGGTCATCGAAAAGTAAGAAGAGGTGCAAATTGGAAGCAGAATTAT